CTTCAAATCTTAAATTTTGATTAAAGATTTTGAAATTATAAGTATTGGATTAAAAAAATTAATTCATATAATTATAATTTTTAAATTATAAGTAAACAATTCTTAAACTTGAATAATTTAGAAATTTTTTATTTTTTAGAATAATGAAAAGCTGTCGTATATTATATACTCTTAGTCTCCAATAGACCCATGATAAGGGGTGTGTTAAGGAAATGGTGGCGTGAAAAAATTTCACGAACTAGTAATCAAAGAATAGTAATCAAAGAATAAGGATATGAAGGGGTGCAGAATTTAATTTATTAAATATCTAATTAATAAATCTTTAATTAAAGTTGACTCGTGAAGTTCGAGATGTTGAGAGGATTTTGGCTCAAACAAGTGCGCAAGTGACCGGAAACAAAATTCAAGATATTGAGTAGTTGAGATATCAATAGTCAAATGTATAACTATTTTAACGGTTTATGCTTATACTTTACTGATCAAAATAAATTTTAATCAGTAAAGTATGAGGGGTGATCCATAAAGTATGTACACATGGCTTACTAAATAACAGGCCTTGCCAACGCGCGACTTGCGTAAAAAACTGGAGGCAAGATAGTTTTATATTTGAAAAACTAGAAAATTCTCGAAAAAAGATATACAAAATAGATACGGGGGTAGTTTTATGTAATAGTAATTTTATAACATGAATATTTAACTAAAATAAAACTAACAAATTAATTTTTATAATTTATATTTTAAATAATATAATTTAAGTTAAATAAATATATACATATACGCATCAGTTCAAAATTTGCATAAAATATGCGGTTACAAAACACCCGTAAGTATTTAAACCAACTTTCAAGTTTTGAAATGAAATGAATCATTATAGAAGTGAAAGATAAGGCGAAGTATCTATATAAGTATTCTAAAAATGGTTCGTCGATGTTGTGTAACAATTTGCAATGGTAATTATAATCCTCAGAATAGAGTTAAAACATTTCGACTTCCAAGAAACATTGAAGAACAAAAACGTTGGATTGGCCAAAATGTTATTTAACTGATAGTGATTATGGGAAGCTGAAACCTCGTGATGCTCCATCAGTATTTAGTTGCATAAAGCCAAGTTTAGTCCCAACTGTACCCGTGCCACTTAGAAAAACATCAAAAAGTCTTGATAGTGTTTGCTGGAAAGAAGAGGATGAGTTAGCAATACTTAATTCTCACGAAAAAATAGAAAGTATAAATGTTTTGTATGAAAAATTAAAAGCTAATGAATTTAATTTTGCTATTATCAATTATTTATGCAATAATGTATTATATATTTAGTCTTCAGTTTTTTAAGTACTGAGCTTTTTGGTTGTAACGCAGTTTAATGGACCAAAATTTCTTTACAAAATGTTACCAGTCAAAAAACTTGATGCTGAATTTATTTTCTAACAGACAACGATGATTTTTGATGGAATTAAAAATAATGGGGGCAATGTTGTTGCTATTGTCTGTGATGGTAACAGAGTTAATCAGAAGTTTTACAATTTTTTTGAAAAAAAAAGAAGCATGGTGTACTAAAGATAATATATTTCTTTTATTTGATTATGTACATTTATTTAAAAGTATACGTAATAACTGGATAACAGAAAGAACTCAAGAGCTTGAGTTTTATATTGATGGAAAAAAAAAAATTAGTGGAGAAAAAAAAAAATAGCATGGTGGGTTGATATTATTAATTTGTACAAGTTTGAATCAAAGAATATTGCTAAAATGTTTAAATTAACTGATGTCTCTGTTTATGCATATAACATGTTATGGAGTATGTTATGTTGAATATGTATGTTGAATTATGTTGAATTATGTTGAATTATGTTGAATATGTATGTATGTTGAATATGTATGTAATGTTATGTTGAATTATGTATGAATGTTATGCATATAACATGTTATGGAGAAATAAATGCATATAACATATTAGTTTTTGATTTTAATTTGAATCTTTACCTTCTTAAATTATCATGTTTTATCTCATTTTTATTTACTATTAAAATTTGAAATCCTAATAAAAAAAAAAACTAAAAAAAAATATTAAATTTTAATGAAAAATATTTAGATATTTGTATTTATATATGTACCTTACGCATATATATTATATTGTGATAACGGATGTTTTTTGGTTTTTTGGTTTTATGTTTTGTTTGTTACTTGTATTCTTGTTTGAAGGGGCTTGGCGATAAGACTGAATTTGTCTTCTTCTTGCCCCAGCCGTGTATATACAGTTTTTAAAGTCTAATTTTGTAAATATTTTCTTTATGGCGAAATACATATTATATTATATTATATCCAAAGTCAATTGAAAAACAAAAAGTTATCACTTGTTTGCAAGTGTTTTGTGAAACATTAGCAGTAATAAAAAGTCATTTTCACGAAAATGAAGGAACAGTTATTTTAATCTCTAAAATTGAGATTTGGAAAATTTGTATCGTTCACAGTTTATATGCAGACATTTGTTTAAAAGATTCTAATAGATCTGCCATTTTTTCTGCTGATAATGAAAGTTTAAGCAAACTTTCTGCAATTGGTGATTTTGCATTTCAAATGAAAAAAATAGAAAAAGGAAAAATAATCTAGTTACTAACTAACGATAATGCTAATTGCTTAGCTCAGACCTGTTATGGCTTGGTTCAGCTGTCAAAATATCTTTTAGACACAACTCATCAGTATGTGTTATTAGGCAACTTTACAACAGATGCATTAGAAAAGCTCTTTGGAAAATTACGACAAGGCTCAGGACCCAGTGGGCACAGGACGTAAAAAAGACGTCCTTAGGACGTTCAAATCGCGTCCGTCCGTACCGTTAAATTCTAAACGTCTTTTTCGCGTCTAATAATTTTTTCGTCCAAAAAATATCCAGAATGCTTTATTAAATAAAAAAAAATCAGTCAAATCACGCAAGCGCCAAAACTTCTTAAAATTTTTAAGTAACGCATTTTTAATAATGTTCTTTTTCAATTACATAAAAAGTCTTTTAACAACAACTAATAGGACGTTCCATCTAATTTTTGTTTTTGTTACCAATTGCTTGAAAATTGTGGTAATATTGATACAGGTAATGAAATTTTTGCAGATAATGAAAGAAACGGTTTAAAACTGAATATATGCTATACTATGTATATATGTACTTGATATACTATTAGTATAGTATTGCTATATCAATAGGTACGCGCATATCGTGATTTACGGAACCGATTTTTGTGCTAAAATTTTGTGACTCGTTTTTTTCACTTCTTTTTAGGCAGCGTGGGGTAAACGTTGTTTTGTGGAGTTTCTTTTTAGAAACATCTATACACATAGATACTTTTTGGAAAGAAGAAAAGCTTATCTTTACTTTTTTAAACTTTTTTGTATAGTTACTAGACTTTTTAACAGATTGTTTTGCTCCTGAATATTTAGTTGATGTTTTCACATGAATTTGTAGTCGAAGGCATGTCGTGTCCGCTTTTTTTGTTATTCAGGCAGTTTTTTACATGTATTTTCTATTTATGTGCCAAATTTCAACGAAAAATAATTGGAAGCAGATACGTTACAAGGTGCTTTATTAAATATACTGCTTTTTTTAGGTAGGGTTAGACAAACGTTTTTTGTGGTGTTTCTTTTTAGAAACATATATAAACAAAAGTTATATTTGGAAAGAAGAAAGGTTAGGCTTGATTTTTATAGTACTTTTATGTATAATCAATAAACTTTTTTATGGTTAGTTTTGCTGAAAACTTTCAAGAAAATTTCGTTGATGTTCTCACATTAATTTGTTGTCGAAGGAATGTCGTGTCCGCTTTTTTTGTTATTCAGGCAATTTTTTACATGAATTTTTTTTGCACATGTCAAATTTCAGCAAAAAATAATTGGGAGCAGATAGTTTAAGAAGTGTAGGACTTTTGGTACCTAAATTCGGTTTTTTTTGTTTTTGCTTTATCTTTAAGAAAAATACGGGGGAGGATAGGGGGGAAGCGGATTGTAAACAAAAAAATTACTACATTGTATTATTTTAAATTTTAATATTAGACTAAAATTCAAATAAAAATGGTAAAAGTTTTGGAAAAAAAAACTTCAAAAAGTAAGTTAATATGTTTTTCTTAATTTTGTTTTAAAAAACAAAAAATGATAAGTTTAAAAACTTTAATCTTTGTTTACATGGCATGTAAACAAAGATTAAGGTTTTTTAAACTATATATACCAATGAGATGGTAATATATACCAATGATGGTATATTAAAAAAGATTAGGATTTAAGATTAAACCGTTACTTTGGAATATTTTATTAACTAATAGTATCAGATACCAATGTTGTTAATACACCATATATATAAAAATATACAAACAAAATTATTATACATTAAAGTAAAATATTATTGGCTAAAGCCAATAACGCTTTTTGACAAAATATTTTTAGAATAATAAACTTATTTTATGTAAAAATATCAAGATACTTTTACAATAATAAGTTTATTCTTATAAAAATATCTTGTTAGTGTTTTTCTAATATACAGTAATATAATTTTAAAATACAGTAATATAATTTGTTTTTTATTATTTTTTCATACCTTTTTTTTGTTAGTAAAATTGTTGTACGTAAAGCAGAACTGATTTAATAACTGTTATTTTTATTGACTGTTGACAATTTCAAGATGTTTTTTTTTTTGATTATACAATTTTTTTGTTATCTTTAGTCCAATATGCATAGCCTACAGCTGATAAGTTATTATAGCATAACTTTTATTAACCATTGAAGAAATATATATATATATATATGTATATATATATATATATATATATATATATATATATATATATATATATATATATATATATATATATATATATATATATATATATATATATATATTTAATTATTACTTGTCGTATATGGATTTTCCATTTTTTAATTTTAGTACCTACCTTTTGTGCTACACCTGGTAAGTTAAACAACTCATACTTTTTAATGTGCAAGCTTTACAATATGTTTAACTTTACTTTCTTAGTCATGTGCCGCAACTAGTAATTTAAAAAACTATTACATTTTATGTGTATGCATTTCTCGTTCTTTAAAATATTGATTTTTTGTTACAACTTTGTAATTTTAGTATCTACCTCTTGTGCTACAACTCTTTTTAATGCGTAAAAATTTCTCATTGATTGCAATATTGATTTTTATAATATATTTTTTACCTTTAGTTCTTTCTACGTGTGCTACGCCTGGTAAGTTTCAAAACCTTATTTCTTTTAACATATGTATGCATTTCTTATCAATTGCATATTCTTTTTTGAAATTGCATTTCTTATCAACTGATTTTTAATTAAAATCTTTTTTATATAGTTACATCTTCAGCTGTCACGTCAAGTAAGTTTAAAAATTATTACTTTTCAGACTATGAATGCATTTATTACCATTTGCAATTTGTATTTTTTATTAAAACAAATTTTACTTTTAGTTCCATCTGTACCACCTTCAAACAGTAAATTTATGAATCTAGAATGTCTCTCATTGATTATTGAGTTCTTCTTATTCCTATTTATATTATCTATTTAATACTTTTGTGTTTTGTTATATGAAGCTTATAGGTAATTTCCTACTTAAAATTAAAATCATTTACTAAAAGCCAAGAGATAGAGTAATTACTATGTTTCAAAACATTTTTTTTTTTTATTTTTTTTTTTATTAGGTTGGTGAGTTAAATATGATCATTTAAATGAGAAAATGGATACTAGTGCAATTTGTAATTTGGTAAGACAATTATGTATTGTGCTTTCTCTTTTTTGATAATTGCATGTGAAAGTGTTGAAAATGTCATTTCTATGTGTTTTCTTTTTTATGTTGGTTGAGGGGAAGGGGGAAAACCATCCCTCTCCTCAAATTGTACATCATTAATGTATGTTCTATAGTAAAAAAATATTGCTTTATGTAATACAACAATATTTTCAATACTAATGTATGTTTTATAGTTATAAAAGATTATTTTTTGTCAGGTGGGGGAGGGGGAGAGGTGGTGCATCATACTTCCTTCGTTTCAAGTCAATGTATCAATATATATCAATAATATATGTTAAATATTAATAAAAGAGTATTTTTAATTTTTAACAGTGGATTTAATTATTGTAATAAAGATAAAATTATTTTTACTTTTTATGAGTGGGGGGAGGGGGCGGTGCGACATACACCCTCCCCTAAAGTTAGTGTTGTACATCACTAATAAATGTTTTATAGTAAAAAAAAAAATATTTTTACTTTTTAACAAAATATTTAATTACTGTAAAAAAGATTAAATTATTTATTATATTAAAAAGTATTATTATTGTATTTAGGGTGTTATAACATCACAACCACATCTATGGCCAACTCTAAGGTCACGTTATTTTGTTTGGCAGTGTTTTGGAATCAAGTTATGGCAAAATTTTGTGTATAAAATATAACAATTACATTTAAAAAGTGCTTATTTCTGACAAAAA